TTTTCTGTAGACTAAAACACCCAATTTTCATATATATGCGATTAGGTTGTGAGTTCCCTAAAGTCTGTGATCATCCTCCTTGGATGATCCCAGTTTAAAGTTTAATGGAGAGTAAAATCAGCAGGCTGTGGAAATACATATGGGATTTAAGGCTTGATTTCATTTTGAAAACAGGGAATAAAAATAGCTTCATCCTCTTGAGCCTTCCACTGGAAAGGAACCAGAGGCTCTCCCTCTGATTTCCCAGGGAGGGTGAGGAAGGCCTTCCCCATATGTAGTGGACAATGAAACCAGGATCATGATGGGATTGGGAAGGAATCTGCTCTGTTGTTGCTGGGAAAATGAGGGGCGGGGGAAAAATTATGTGATCATAATGCTCCTAGGAAGGCGAGCATTTAAAAAATTGCTGTAGAAGCTGTATAGAGATTGGTCTGGCTATGCTGAGGGTCCCAGAAGTATCCAAAGTGGGACACAAGTAGGGTGAGATCACTTATGCTCAATCTAGTCTTCTGCCAGCTCCTGCAGGGAGGTGAGAAAAACGTATTGGTTGGCCAGAGTAGACATATCAGTTTTGGACCCGTAACAACAAGACATTACCTAAAGGAGAGAATCACATATTCATTCAAGTCAGTTTTAAAGGGATTGAATTCTAGTCCAACTTCCTTTTCCCAGGACCTCTTAGAAACAACTGTGCTTCAGCGCTATAGGCACAGCAGATCGTAAGTTTGTAGCAGGACAGAATACCTAGCTGTCATGTAGTGAGCCCCTCTGCACTTCTCAGTTTCTACTGTGAGCTGGCTTGGAAAACCTTAGAGAAAAAAAATCTGTATTTTGTATCCCTGGTTCTCTACTCTCTTTATAACTTTCCAAAACCATGGCCTATATTTTGAAATACTTTTCTTTCCATCTATGTAGTTCAGGGAAAGTGGCTTAACTTCTATGGCTTTCATTTTGAGCATGATTAACTTTTGCAGCTTGTCTCAAGATTTCTAGTTGAGGATACATGTGACCACATGACGCAATGCCTTGTTTGAATAACGTTCCGTGTCCTACAAGAAAAGTGAAATTGCCCTTTGTCTACAAAGGAGTTATAAGTTAACAAAACTTCTGTAACCACTATCCCATTTGCCTGCTACTTAACATAAACACCCATATGCATACTAGCATACCCATATTTCACCCACCACTCCTGAAATACAAGTATTCATTTGTGTGCTTTCATTCATTAATTCTATCCTCTTTGCTACTTTCTCTCTTTGTGTCTCTTAAGTCAGAGTAGACCCAGACTCTATACTTTGCAAGGCAAGAATTTGTGCTGATGCATAATTTAATAAGGTATCTTCAGGTGATCTGACCACTGGGAAATTTTCAGAGACTCAGGCCTATTTTATCTAGAGTGGATTCTCACAGTAGAGTCTTAAAATGACATTAGAATCCATATCACATAATACCTCAATTCGTAACATTTTTCATATGGATTGATATGCATAGGTGCTAAAAAAAATTTGTTGAATTGAAATTAATCCATATATGTGCTAAGTCCTCCCTCCCCATTTACACCCTGTTGTAACACTACTTATCATAGGCTGAGAGAAGACAAGCTATTTTTAAAAATCAATAAAATAAAAGTTCTGATGAATCAGTAATTTAAACAAAAAATAATTGTCAATTATTCCTTGTTTCCGTTCATAATAATACATAATTAAAGCTGACCAAATTCCCCTTTTGGAAATATCTGAGAGTCTTTTCCAACTCACGATTTTTTCTGTGATATAACTTCTTTCTCTGATTTATTACGGATGGCCAGCTTGCACTGAGAAAAATGAAATTATGTAGACCAGGAGGAGGACAACAATGTCCCTAAGCATACAGAGTTGCCAGGAATGTCTGGTTTGTGTCTCAGCTGGGCTTGAAGAAGGCACAGAATGGAGCTATTTGTGTTGCTGTCTGCCTCTAAGCTACCGGAGGAGCATGAACCAGCTCCCTTCCACCCACAGGGGACCTCCCAAGAGACACAGCCTTTGGGAAGGTTTTTTGGCCTTTCCAGGGCTCACGGGGATATTGGAGAAAAATGAAGGGAAGACCTAGCCAGCTAAGTGGAACCTCAAGGCACAAGAGAGGCCTTAGACTGGCTGGATGTACACTGCCTCACCTTCCCAAACAGACTCCGGGGAAGAGGAAGGTGAGAGAAAAGTGTGCCGGTGTGTTTGTTCTCCTTCCCTTTCTGAGGAATGGTCTCACAAATAATAAGGTCCTCTGGGAAAAGATAGTGCTATAACCAAGTCATTCAGAATATGAGAATAATATGTATCTGCCCTTATTTGGAGACCCAAGCATATGAGCACTCACAGGTATACAAACTCCAAACACTCAGATGTTGTGTTTACAAGTACGAATTCTATACACAGATGTGTCTCAGTAATTCATTAGATGTAAACAATAAATATACTGCATTCAAATTATATCTGTTTCTTTTCAAAAATGAGAAAGACTATGTATATGTTTACTTTTATTATCTACATATAATACACATTCAGAAGCATACACAGGTATCAGAGAAAGTACAAGGTAGTAAGACCATATGGAGGCATGAAAATTGGACAATTGGACAATTATCTCTTTATATATGTTGCTTCATGGGTTAGGATACCCGCACACACAGGGATGGCTAGCCTCAGAACCACAGACCTAAGACTATAGCAGAAAGCGAGTAGGAGCTGGTGGGATTTTACATGCACTACTGTGAAGGATGTTGACCAACACAGGAGCTGGCACTTCTCTGGAGTTAAGAAACATGAGGTTTAGTCATGACAGAATAACCTCCGCAAACATAAAATTAAACTCTTTATTAAAATAACAGAATTCTCATAAGGAAGAATAGCAAAATCCTAACTACAAAGTCCCCTGTTTACATTTCTAGGAGAAACGATTATTTAGTCCTCAGTATTTTCCAATTCAATGGGAAATTTCAAAGGGAATTTTTTCCCACAGAAAATTGGGATAACACTTGGTTCATTTCCAGATAGTCTCCTTGCTCACTGCTGGTTCTTTGGTGATATTCTGTATTACCAATCTGTAGAAGCCTGGTAAATATTTATTGAATATCTTCTAAGTGTCAGGAACTATTCTGGGTCATATGTCATTAGTTTTTTAAATATTTTTACTGTAATCACTTTACTCAGCCCTTAGACATTTGTTAGTACATTCCAAAAACCAGAACTTCCTCTGTTATGACAACTCCAGTAAGTAAGAAACAGGTTTAATACAATTAAAGTTTAATACCATTCTCCTGAAATAGAGAAGGAAAATGTGATATATGAATGAATGCTTTTATTTGTCAGCATTTGTGTTATGATTAGCAATTAGACGGTGTTCAGAAAAGTTCACTTAATATTCAATTTTCTTTGTAATATGCTTGTATATGGACATAAGAATTTGGGGCATTTTAGAATTTTCCCAAATATTTAAATGAAATAATGCAGTTGTTTCTGATTAAGTGGCTCACGAGTTAACTGGCTTCTCCACCAAGGCATTGTCTTATCTTTCCAGCCTTCATTTTAAACTAGAGGTGGAGCCCACTGTACGCTGATTCTTAAGTAAAAATTCCTGGGTTATTCCTTTTATTAATACTGGAATATAGTTGATTGTACATATCTGTGGGGTACAATATTGAATATCATTACCAGTGTGCAATATGTGATGTACTGTTAGTACATAATTTCTGTATTAAGTTCACCTCCCTCTTTTATCACTGACCCACTGCAATTAAAGTAGTATTTGCTTTGCTTCCCTAAATATACATAAATAAATAAATATAAAGTTCTGCTAATTTAATTTGCAAAATTTTGTAGAAGATTGGAAGATTGAGTCTCTTAAAAAATCAGTTAAAACATATCCTGGACTAGAGGTTCTCAACAGCAGACTACCAAATTCATTGCGTTCCAAAACAGTATCTGGTAGAAAGCAGGAACCTAAAATATCAGTTCAATGAGAAAATGAACTGAATCCCATTTTACTTGTATGACATAATAAGTGCTTAACTTCAATGCCGAGGAAGATAAGAAACAGCAGAAGAATCTGGCTGATTAAATACTACCATGGGGAGATTTATGGACAAAACTATAATTACTATCTCAGTTTTCTTTTTAAAAATCTTTTTAGCTACTATTGTGAACTAAGAACTGGTACAAACAAAACATGGTCTTTTCTTGGTATGACTATTGTTATCATTCCAGGGTACAAAAAAAAATTAGAACTGTGAGTGTTTAAAGTAAAAAAGAATTATAAATTTGATTTTATTGCTGTACAAAGAAAAAAAAAAGACAGTTAAGGGTTAATACTGAAAAAAAATAGGTAGACTACATCTTCACATTGAGTGAGAAAAAGTACAGTGTTTATATACTGTAAAATTTCTGGTTCTGGGGAAATAGTCATGATAAATATGCACTTATCTTTGGTAAGAAAAATAGAGTAATTTTTTTTAAATTAACAGATTAAAGTTTACTGGAGAACTTCATATTTTTCCTTTGTGTTAATGTTTTCTAATGTTTTCAAAAGTTGAGTATTTTCCATTTTCTCTCTAAAGCCATAAAAATGTTGAGGCAAATAACCATGTCTTGTGCCTTCTATAAAGTATCTTGTGAATAAAAATCATGCAACTCATGTTTTCTTTTTAAATACAGGTACATCCTTAGTCAATTGTGATAAAAAGTGCAGCTATTTTATAAGAAATTAATTTCACTTAAAAATTATATAAATAACTTGACAGCATGCTACTTTTCCACTCCTCTCTTTTATCTGGTGGAAAGCTGGTGATACTGGGTATGCATTAGAAACCCCCATACAAAATAAAAAAATTTGTAAACTTTCATGAATAATAGGAGGTCCCCAGACAATATTTTTAAAACCCTGGACTAACTGATATTTATGTTCCTTTTAAGCCCATTCTATGATTTATTTGGAGCCCTTATTAAAACCTTGATATTTTCTTCCCTGCCAGGATCAGTCAGGAATATCACCAAGAGAGTGGCATCTGCCCAATACTGTCTTCCTGAAAGCATCCTTTACCTCCTTGTTTCTCAGGCAGTAGATAGCTGGGTTAAGGAATGGTACAATGATAGTGTAGAGCACAGAGATGATCTTGTTGTGGTTGAAGGTGTACATGGCCCGGGGCCGTGCATAGGTGAAGAGAGTGGATGAGTAGTAGATGACAACCACTGCCAGGTGAGAGGTACAAGTGGAGAAGGCTTTGCGGCGTCCCTGGGCAGTAGGGATCCTTAGGATGGCTGCAATGATGGCAGCATATGATGAAACCACAGCCAATAGAGGGAGTAGAATCATCAGCAGGGCCAGGAGGAAGTCCACTAGCTCTGCTTGCTCCTTGTCAGAGCAGGTGAGGTTGAGTAGTGGTGAGATATCACAGAAAAAGTGGTTTATAATGTTGGGTCCACAGTAAGACAGACGGGAAATGAAAAGAAGCTTCATCATGGCGCTGAAGAAGCCACTTCCCCATGATGCAGCAGCAAGGTGAGTGGCCAGACTGGAAGGCATGAGACTAGGGTAACGGAGGGGCTCACAGATGGCCAGGTAGCGGTCATAGGCCATAACTGCCAATAGGACACATTCTGTACAGGCTAAGGCAATGAAGAAGTAGAGTTGGGTCATGCAGCCTACGTAGGAGACTCTACTATCCTGGGTAATAAAGGCTCCCAAGAGCCGGGGAATGGTGACATTGATGTACCACAGCTCCAGGAAGGAGAGATGGCCAAGAAAAAAGAACATGGGGCGATGAAGGCTTGGAGTGAGCCAGATAGTGGAAACGATGAGTGCATTCTCCAACAATGTCAACAGGTAAATTGCAAAAAAAAAGACAAAGAGGAACAACTGGAGGGGTGGAGAGGTAGGGAAACCCACCAAGACAAACTCCTCTATGTGTCCTCCACTCAAATTTCTCATGCTCTCTGTCCACTTGAGTGCCTGAAAAAATAACAAGAAGAACAAGAGGCTGAAAAACAGGTGGGTCAAGGACCAATCCACTAACATCCTCTCACAGATTATAACCTCTGAAGATTCTCAGTGGTATATTATCAATTATTATTACATCATTATTTCCCTTTGCCTTGCTGTTTCACCTCCAACCTCAAGAAGAGAGTTCTTAGACTTGAGGATTGTACTCAATAAGCAACAATCTTAACTACAGTGGGTATTTCATAAATACTTACTAACTTATTTCAGAACCCCCTTGGAATTTTGAGTCTTGTTTTCTTATTTATTACATGCTCTTTCTTCACTTCCCTTGGAAATATCTACAGACATAGCACCTTTACTGAAAATTTGTTGAATGAATGAATAAAAGGAGTGATGACAAGCTGGAGCCTGAGGGATTACGTCTCAAGAGAAACTGGAGTAAGGGAAAGTAGTAGCTCAAAGAGGTAGTTTGAGATATAGTGCAAAGCAGCATGGCAGAAAGAAGTTTGGTTTGGAAAGGGTTCATTCACGATTGGAGAAACAATTTAGTGTAAAGAAAATAAGGAAGGTCTGCTCCAGAAAGGAGTGATTTTTCCATTCATTTAATAAATATTTTTGAGTACATTCTTTGTGCCAGAGGTAGATGGTCTCATTTCTGTAGCTGGTTTGGTATGTTAAAAAATGGCTTCCTCAAAAGTGTGCATGTTCTAATTCCTGGAATTTTAAATTATCACACCATACATCAAATATTTTGAAGGTGTGATTAAATTAAGGATTTTGAGATGGAAAGAGTATCTGTGTGGGCCTTAAGTACAATCACAAACATCCTTATAAGAGAGAGGCAGAGAGAAATTTGAAACAGAACACAGAGGAGAAGGAAATGTTAAGATGGAGCAGAGAGAGATTTGAAGATGCTGGCCTTGAAGACTAGAATGATGGGAACAAGATAAGAAGTGCCAGCAGCCACCAGAAGCTAAGATGCAAGAAAGGAATTATCACCTAGAGCCACCAGAGGAAGCAGGATCCTGCTAACACATTGAATTTGGCCAAGTGATAGGGATTTCAGACTTCTGGCTTCCAGAATCGTTTGAATAAATCTCCCTTGTTTTAAGACATCAAATTTCTGGTAATTTGTTAAAGCAGCCACAGAAAACGGGTACAGCTGCTGAGGCATCACAATGGAGGAGGCAGCTGTCTTTCTCCCAGAAGTTCTGCTATGCCTTTCCAGCTTCCTATCAGAGTTTCCAGTGACCTGGCATCCCCATGGGGCCTCTGGTGAGATTGCAGATCTGACTTGAGTTTGGGTCACATGTTAGATATCATGAACAATTTTAACTTTAGGTGGAACTTAAGCACTTGTCTCCATATTTTGATTTCTTTAAGAAACTTAAAAAATGATGTACCCATTTGCATAGTTTTAACTTGATGTCTGTTTTTTATTAGGCTTTAAATAGTGGCAGGGACTCTAACTTCCTGTACATTGTACTTACCTTTTAAATGAGATGATTATATCACTTCTTCATATGTTCAATGGAATCTAAATATTGGTGCTTTGATATCCACTAATACTTATTTAAGAAATTACATGAATGAGCGTGTCTTAAAAAAATAGAAATTTTACATTATTTATCACACTTGACTCACAATTCATGGTATTTATTGCAATGTATTTTTATAATTGCACATCTTTTATTAATTTCTTTGTATCTACCTACATGTTTCTGGTTTCTTGTAGTCTTGAGACTATTAGTGCTTTACAAAAGATTCTCCTGTAGATATTATAAAGTTAGCATGCATTTAACTTAAGTAATATAAATATATATTTTTTTATTTTACACAAAATTTTTTTAAAAATTGTTGGAAAACTATTTTGTAATAATGTGATTGCCCTTTTTAAAATTTTATGTGCATCAAGAAAGACTACTTATTACCACAATGAGAAAGATTTCAGCACAAATTCCATTTTTACTTTTCGTTTTAGAAATGTAAACACTGAGAAAACTATTTCACATAAATAAATAACATTAATGTACCATAGCTAGGGGAATGAGAGTTGTTTTGTTATAGTAATGACACTAAATTATTTGAATTTTTTATTCATGTAAGCCATGAATTACACAGTACTCTATCATGAAAATTATTTTTGTTGATTTATTAGCTGACAACTTGATTAGCTCCTATTTCAATTGTGTTGAAAGAAACAGATTGGAAGCTACTGACATGCCAGAAGATTTGGTACACAGTTAGTAGTCATTCACTTTCTCAGCACTGACATTGGCGTGGCACTAAGTTACTCTCTGGGAAACTTTGATATAGTAAGATTCAGTAGTACCTTTCCTTGTAAAGAGGGAGAAATCATTTTGAAAAGCAAAGTGGGAAAGGGAAAGAAACACTTTCTCAAGCAGATCAATTTTAAAAGGAGCTCATAAGTCAGTTGAAATTTAGGGAATCATTCCTGTGGAACTATCCATGCCTGGACCTTGGAAATTTTTTTTTTTTTTTTTTTTTTTGTGCTATCAATTGTCCATAAAGCCCAATTTTGGAAGCTGCACTTAATGTTCCAAACACTTTTCTCAGGGAGAGTTTACTGAGTAGGTACGGGTGGTAAAAGTGGGGACAATGTAAGAAGGAAGCGGGATTTCCTTTTTTTAATTTTCTTTTTTTTTTTTTTTTTTTTTTTTTTTTTTGTGCTATCAAGTGTCCATAAAGCCCAATTTTGGAAGCAGCACTTAATGTTCCAAACACTTTTCTCAGGGAGAGTTTACTGAGTAGGTACGGGTGGTAAAAGTGGGGACAATGTAAGAAGGAAGCCCAACATGCCTCCGGAGTAGCTAAAAACAGGATGGGAAATACTCAAAAACGATGGCTAGAGCAGACCGAGCAATGACAAAGTCTGAAAAGGTACTTGTCTTTACTCTTTTTTCAGTAAACAAAGCAGTGCCCAGGACACAGTAGGCACTCAATAAATGTTAGTGGAATGAGTTGCAGTCCTGATTTGTGTCATGAATAATTTGCTCCATTCAGATACATATTCTGTAAATTTAGATAATTGAACTAACTACAGAATAGTGTTCTTTTTCAGTCTTAACACTGCATGCAATGTGGTTGAAATTCCAACTTGGCCAGGGTCAGTGCTGAAGGATGAGGGACATAAGTTGTTGGACAACTTATGGCCTTAGGGCAAGGACAGTGCTATCCACTGAGCATACTGAGATTGGCACTATCTCTTTTACCACTGCCCTCTGCTTTCTGTGTTCCCCCTTCCCATATACAATTTCCTTCCCAGTCCTACATCTTTACAGATATCCAGCATTTTACCATCCTGGCACTTAAAAATATCCCTTACACTTGTGAACATTTCAAATGCATTTTTCAGGTACCATCTTCATCATCATAAACATATGGATATAAGATTAAAATAGCCAGGTACTCACTGTGAGATCTTTGGTGACAATTAAGCTTTTTCAGATTTTAAGCACATTAAACATATGAGGAGATTCAAGAGTTGTTCAGGATTATGAGGAATCTGAAAACCATAGGGAATATATGAGGGATCTGAGACTGTCTACCCTGAAAAAGGATAAAATTTCTCACAGAGGTTAACCTGGTTCTTCACATGGCTGTCCTTCACATTCACTCACATACGCTGTCTTCAGGTATTTGTTAATAGGCTGGTTACCTGTTGCTCCTGGGCAGGTATGGTCTGCCCCAGGCAGTCTTCAATAAAGCTGGCACTTCATGCTTTGCAGAATGCTTTTCTGAGTCATTTGTGGCATGACAGGACAGACAATTGGCAGATGTGGCCTTGGAGCAAACAGGGGCAGCAGTAGCCAGCCCTTATCATGTCCTCATCAGGGACATAGCCCCTTAGGACATATTGTCATGGTGACCTACCTCTCCCCAACAAGACCGTGTCCAAGTCACCTCAGGGACCATTTGTTCCAGGGCATATGTGATACAATGAAAGAGTAAGGCCTAGAGGGACACGGGCCAGCAGAGAAGTAGTACAGTCCTCGGGTTCACTGCCTGGAACTCATCCATGTGGTGCTTCTGCAAACACAATTTTCAGAGGTACTGAAGAGGCAGACAGATTTAGTGATAATTCAAGTCTAAAATTCTATTGAGGAAATAAAAAGGTAAAAGTTATGAATAAATGAATTCTGATACGCTGTTTACACTATTAAATTTTTTGAGAAAATGTCTATTTGTCAAACTTTGTACACCTTTGTGTCTTATCACTTGTTTGTGGTCATGCATGAGGAAGAAATGCTCTCTCTCTCTTCCTTCAGGCTACAAGCTCCAGGAGGACAATGTATTTTTTTGCTCACCCCTTTTTACATCTCTTTGTAAGTTAAACTGGGCTAGGAGGGTGCACAGGGAAGAACTCAGGATTATTGGTGAAAGGATGGGAAGAGGAATAGTAGCATGTCCCTGATTCCTGGCTCAGAGCTGAGTCTTTTTGTAGATAATGGGGTTTTCTTTCTCTTACAGCTCTGGTTTTCCAGACTGCCATTCATGCACGTGTTGTTCTTTTGCTTCTTGGTCTACTGGGGCTGTCACAAATGGTGTACGCTACCTCCTGGGGTATGTGCTAACCTCCCTATCACTGGAATTGTTCAAGCAGAGTCCAGACAATCTATCTAGGAAAAAAATATAGGGGGGGGGGTCTCTTCAGAAAAAGTCAGTGCTCTTTCCTCTCTGCAGTAATGAAAATTTGTTTTACTGAAGAAAAATAGGGTTACAAATAAGTAATTTGCAAAAAATTAGATTACACTATAAAACGTTAGAGAAGTACAATTATCTCTGTAATGTTAGCCCACAGTGGTGAGAAGTTGGTCACTCTCAGAAAACAGAAAGGGAGGAAAAACATGTGAAAACTAGCAATGAACTCAGTCTTGCCATACCAAGCTCAAGAGACAGGCAGATATATGCAGCAATAAATGAGAAATGTTGGCCTGGAACTTAGGATTGTCTTCAGATTACAAACT